CGCTAAACTAATTAAGAGGCTCAAGAGAAAGTGAAAAATACCCAAGCTTAGTTATAAGAAACTAAAACCAAGTCACTTGAATTAGTTAATTAAACTGTAGAAACCAAGTCCAACATTGGTAGGTCACAAGAGGATTAAAAGAATTGATTCAATACAATTGATAAATAATTAAATTTTTAAGTTTGACAATAGGATTCAATTCTTGTGCATGAAGAAAAAACTTATTTTGATAATTTTTATACTTTATAAATAATTAGTCTTAAACTATCGATTGAAAGATATTTTTGATACGAATAATTTTTTTAAAAGGATATAAGTAAGAGAGTTATACATTTGAATTTTCAATGTATTTTAAATAAACAAGTTAATTATTCAAGTTATAAACTCCCTAGCACACCTTTGAAATTGTCATAATTTGATTTTATTTTTTTTATCAATGTGATGAATGTAGTTTTCAAGTCACTTTATAAAAAAGTTAGTCATTACTTACTTTGACATTTTTTTACAGCTGGAATGAATAAATATAAAAGGCAAAGTTGCAAAGAATTAATGAAAAAAGTTATATTCAGAAAATTAAAAACAAGCCAAAAATTAGCTAGTTGAGGAGAGAGTGAATCAAAGAATAGGTGTAGCTTAATCTCCGTGTATATATATATTGGTGAGTGAACTAAGGATGTTCTTCGATCGAGACTAGTTTTCTTTTAACATAGAGACCGATCAATTTTCTTTCTATTCAAACAAAGTCTTTTTTATTAGAGAATTGAATATATGTCTACACACTTAAAAAAAAAAAAAAAACTAATTATATGTACCAATTATGCTAGAATTATTGGTTTGGGTATTGAAGTTTTATCTCTGAGAAAGCAGCCAGAAGAGGGGGCTTGGAGTACATGCATGTACTCCATATCGGTGAGAACGACAACACCAGTGATTTAATCAATGTTTCAACTATTCTACATTTTATCCTTTATTCTTTGTGGATATCATTTCCTCAATTAACACTGTGTGACAATGAAAAGATCCGAATTGAAATTGTTTATCCTTGATTATCATTTTCCTGGTTGTTTAATTTACAAGGAACGGACCTATCGTTTTTTTTTAATTAGGCAAACATCTTCATAAAACAGAAGAAACTAAATATAATCCGCATGTGATGCTAAATTCAGGCCAACAGATAGCTAAATTGTAAAGTTGAAGTTCTTTCATTTTTAGCATATAAAAAAATCATTCTTAGCGTTGTGGGAACTGGGAATCGAGACAGGAAAATATAACTGTAACAGAAAGATTTGCACGCTATTGTTGTCAATAATTAGTGAGTGCCGAAGACTTGATCTCTGGGGGTATCTGATCGATATATATATATGCATGATTGTCGTAAAAGGCTATCTGATTGTGCTTTGTGCATGTGATGGATATGTATTGAAACTCTGCATGTCTATCAGTTCAACAATAATTGGAAACAGTGAACATGTGACAGTACGTGATGAATGAAAATATGAAATTGATTAATTCTCTCTATCTCTTGGTTAATTTTTTTATTTTTTATTTTTTTTTCTCGGATTAGTTTCTTAATTTTATATAAAGTAAATGATGGCACCAGAGTGTATACTAATTATTTTCTCTGCATTATAATTTGTGGTCAGATGAGAATATATTTCTTTATACTACCAATATATTTATTAAATATTTAATTTTTTAAGATTTAATTTTTTTTATTTATCAAAATTATGATGATCGTATCCATGTTCGAATTTAAGATCCGGATATACTATTTCAATACCTCACATCTAGACTAGCACAAATGGTTCTTAATTAATACTAATATTAAGTAATATTTTGAATATAATGTGTTAGGTTTGAACCAAACATATGATTATTAAGTAATAAAAAAATTTCATATCTCTTTTTCTATTAATAAAGATGAAAATAATTTATCCTTAAAATTTTTTGATAAAACAATTTTTAATGAAATTATGATATTATTACAACATTAGTTTTATAATTATATTATTACCTTTAGATTTAAAGTAAATTTTTTTTTATGAAAGTTCATTACCTTTAAAAATTGAGTAATTCACACTATTTTTTCATTAGATATACGAATAATACATTATCCTTGTATCTTATGTTCTTTGACAAATTCTAATTTATGACACTTTATAACTTTTTTTTATAAATTTTTTTTGTTAAATTTTCATTAACTTTCCTTATAAAAAGAAGTATTAATAAAATATATTTTATATTAATATTTTTATCAGAGATGTAAATATTAAACTATCCTCTCTGTCTGTGTTAAAATAAACACTTATTTCTGTTAATAAATACAAATAGGTTATACTTTCAAAATCTATCTCATGGTTTTTACATACTCAATTATTGTTTTTAAAATTATTATGAATTTTGTTAAAATTATTTACATATTTAAAAATATATATTTATTTATCATTTCCACAAAATATTTTCAAAGTTATAATATATAATTTGTATATATATATATATATATAT